AACTCTTGTAAGCGACCACCTCTCGTAAGCGCCCGCGACCACTTTTAGAGCTAGAAGTTTGAATTTTCTTTTGTTGTGAATCTTCTATAAGCGACCACTTGACAGATAATACAGAGGAAATTGGATAATAATGAACGTGCTGTAACATTACTGCATTCCTGGGTAGTACAAGAGACGGAAATTTCTCAATTGGAAGTACCAGATTTTATCTCGAAATTGTCTTTTCACACGAATAAAACATTTAAAACATGGCGTATGCGTCTGCCGTTACCTTATGCTAATGATGTAAAATTTTGACCCAATATGGTCTACGCTCTCGTAAGTGACCACCTCCCGTAAACGCTTACGGGAGGTTCGACTGTATAATTTTTGGGCTTGAATCTCAGTTCTTAGTTTCTCGCAAAAGAGGCACGTGACCGAGATCAACTCGTGAACATGTTTTCACAGGTTACGATCGCAAAAATTAAAATTGTGGCGGCAATTTTCATGATATTCAGTATAATGTATAACTTCAGTGCTCTGTTAGAATTTTGATGTACCGAGTTGGGGCCATTGTTGATGTTATATAATATAATTTGATGGAAAAAATAATATCCAAACAATGAAGTTATTCCTCATGTAAAATACCCTTAATGTGTGTGGAGAAGGGGGAGGAGCTTTAGTGTTATGGATTATCTACTTACGTAGTTTCTACTGTTTACAGGAGGCGCACCTCCCATGTATGAAAGCATCACATTCAGTGAGTGATTTGCTGTCATTGTTATTCTTGGCCATATTTTTAGACAGTATTTAACGACTTAAAGCCTGTTTGATTTTTCCAGTAGTTTTTATTTCAAAAACTGCAACCAAAAATTGTATCCGACCTCACATGACTAAACTACAGCCTCCTAAAGTTAACAAATAAAAACAGAAAGACAGGTACTAAATTATGCGGCAGTGTCATTCCACTTTGCAAGTGAATCAGTATGAAAGATATTCACATATCTGAACTACCGAGAAAGATGAAAGTTGTACATAATTTCGATGATCCTTCATGTTTTATACGTTGTTCTACTTTAACTGGTGGACCCCAAGTGGGCTGATATCGCTCTTAAGCAAGATAGGATGAAGAGAGAGTTAATCCGCCATATGGGACTTTTTACTAAGGTAATCCCTCGCAAAATATTTTAAGATCACTTCGGCGTCAAAAATACCAGCAGGGTCTATAAATACTGTGACGCGGGTTCTACTCAAGTGTACAGCCTCGCTTATTCAGGTTCCTTAGAAAATGTTCGTCTTCCACGAAAAGGAACTTGCGTTGTAACATAATCCTTGGGAGGACGGAATACCACATGAGAAGGATTGCCTTAGGAAAAGGTTCTATAGGCGCCGTGTCTTTGCTGACGTCATTGTTTACATTTTTTTCCCTTAACATACGACTTTGCGTAGAGAGGGCACCACGCTAGACACAAATTCACCTCAAACATTTCAAGAGCTTGTGAAGCTTAGTAGTTGGTGAAAATTTCGGCTCTTTGGGTGTAATATTCGAAGGGAGACTGGCTTCCAAAACTCGCAAAATGTCTGGGTGGCAAAAGGGCTAATTAGCTCATACATTGCTCGTAAAATGTTGAATTTTTAAACCTGGATCACAGAAAAAGTATTCAATACATAGGGCTCAAATTCCTTGGGACAGTTAATCGTGTTGTACCCTTTCAATATTCAGAAGTAATGTTTTTGTAGCTCCATCAGAAACTAAATCGCTTATGCCAATGAGGCAAATATTGTAAACAAAGATTCTCCTATGTGGGGCATAAACTCACCTATCCTTCATACTCTCTTGTCTTAAAAAAATGCAACAAGTTTGGTTTAAAATGATGCCGTAAGTGGAGTGTAAACTAATTTTAATATTCAGCCACTCCGAATATCTTCTGAAATCGTTTCACCAATCAACACAATCATCGTCAGTTTCGACTTATGGCAACGCCATTCAATGCATTGAAGTTTACTTTGCAATATACATTCAGATACCGAGAGATATGCTAGCGCTCGCGTCGTTGAACCCGATCCAGCCTGGAGAGCGGGAGGTACAACATTACAAGGCTACAGTACACAGCAGTTCATGACTGCTGAACCAATCAAAGTGGATCCTTCAAGGAAGATTGAACTGGTGCTCAGGCTTGTTGCAAGGTAATATAGAACATATTACGTATTTGCACGGGCAGTAACCCTGTTATATGTATCCGGTAATTTCCATGTTCACCATTAGAATCAAATTCGCCTGAAACGGCATTCTCCACGGAAACTGGTTATTGCAAGAATACAGTCGAACCTCTCCATTCGGACACCTCTTTAATACGGA